AGCATCGAGAGACGGGTAAGATCAGGGCTCCTTTCTACCAACCTAAGACAGGCAAGAGGGACATAAGCCCTCTTTGCTGATGACGGGTAAGGAGGAGGGACATCCCTGCCACCTAAGACAGGAGCTCCTTGGCATATATCTGGCGCCCTCTGCAGGGGCTCATTGACATAAGAGAAACGGGGGAATTATGGAGAGCATTGTAAAGGAACACGACATGAGCACAGCCATACTGACCTGTGATTCACCCGAGCAATGTGGACGTGCCGACGCCCATAACAACGGGCTAGTTCAACTGGTGGTCTGACCTGTTGCCTAGCAAATGTAACCCATAATAGTTGTTTTGTAGAGCATTGTGACCTTTGCAGTCAGCTACACCCTGTTCACACTTTTGGTTTCAGTTTTAGCCTATATATACTCCACCCTGAAAAATAAATGGGGCCTTGCTACGAAGAGAGCATGAGCCTGGAACTAAGTCTGTGAGACTGTTTGCTCTCCTGTTGTTCTTCCCTCGGGTTTGGGACCTGCTGGCAGGATTCTGACGTTGCGGCTCGCGACAAGTCAAGAACATATAGAAATTCTAAATAAACCAATACCAGCCAATGAAATTGAATGGGTAATTTAAAAACTACCAAAAAAAAAAAAAACCCTGGCTCTGATGGATTCACTGCTGAATTCTACAAGGAATTTAAAGAAGACCTAATGCCACAACTCCTCAAACTCTTTAATGAAATTGAAAGGGAAGTAATACTCCCAAATTCATTCCTGAAAGCCAAGCATTACCCTGATTCCAAAACCAGAGAAGGATCCAGCCAAAGAATTACAGGCCAATCTCCCTAATGAATATAGATGCAAAATTCCTCAATAAGACATTGGCAAATGGAATGTGGCAAACCATCAAGAAGGTTATACTCTATGACCAAGAGGGATTCATCCCAGGGATGAAGGCATGGTTCAACATACACAAATCAATAAATGTAATGCACTATATTAACAGAGCCAAGGACAAAACTATATGATCCTCTCAAAAGATGCAGAAAAAGCATTTGAAAAGGTCCAAAACCCATTCGTGATAAAAAAAAAAAAAAACTATGGAAAATTGGTATAGATGGTCTTTATCTCAATCTGATAAAAGACACTTCTGACAAAGCAACAGCCAACACGATGTTAAATGAACAAAAACTGAAAACTTTCACTCTAAAATCAAGAACAAGACAAGGATACCCACTGTCACCACTCTTGTTCAATATAGCTCTGGAAACACTAGCCAGAGCAACTAGACAAAGAGAAAGAAATAAAAAGAATAAGGATAGAAAAGGAAGAAATGCTACAATGACGACTCCGGGAGCGAGACAATCTGCCTGTTTTAAGACCTAAAATGCCCGGAGGAGTACGGACTCCTGACTGGGAATTCGCAGACCGGCTGAGAACCGGTAGGGGCTGGGTGAGCGGCGTCTCCGAGGCCCGGTCACCGCTGTGGGACCCCCGGGCTGGAGTCGCGGCCTACGGGCTGGGGGACAGGGGAGGTGCGGCCGCCGGC